AGCCTTCTTGCTCCTCTGATGCTGCTTGACCTGCTATGTTCATCCAGCTCTACACCTTGTTATCTCAGATTCTCCAGCATCTGCAGTTCCTACTATCTCTGAAACTGTCATCTTTACCTGGTCTGGCCTATATGTGACTCCAGACCCACAGAAACGTGGTTGGCTGTTAAGTGTCCTTAATTATGGATGGGCAATAAATGTTGGCCTAATCAGCAATGCTGTCATTCCATGTGTGGTGTCAGTGAATAAAAAAATTCTGAGTACCACACTTTAGGAAGGATGTCAAAGCCCTAGACAGGCTTTGAAGCAATTTACTAGAACAGTAGCAGATGAGGGTCTTTAATTACATGGAGAAGCTGAAGTAGTTCTTAGAAGATTAAAAAAATAGAAGTTTACAAAATCAAGACTGATTTTAATAGCTTAAATAAGAAAAACTATGTTAGGGGGCAGATAACAGTCAGATAACAGAGGTCTAAGATGATTAAACAAACAAACCAGAGGAATCACAAGGAAACACTTTTTTAATACAATATGTTGTGATCTGGAAAATACTTCATAATAGGGTGATGGAAGTAGATTCAATAGTAACAATAGAAAGAAAATTGCATGTGTGTCGAAGGGGAAAAGTTAATTACAAAGGAGTGAAGTCAGAGCTGGCTGGAGTTGACTGGGGAAGGAGTTTATCAGAAAAGATATTTGGGGAACAATGGCAGACTTTTAAGAAAATAGTTCATGGCTCATAGCAAAGACATATTCCAGTGAGGAAGAAGGATTCTGGGAAGGGGATTAGCCAGCCATGGTTAATCAGAGAAGTTGAGGATAGCTTCAGATTAAAAGGAAAAATAATTGCAATGTGGCAAACATAAATGGTTAGCCAGAGGATTGGAAAAATGTTAATAACCAACAAAACACAAAAAAAGTGAGAAAATAAACTTTGATGGTAAGCTTGCAATTAATGTCAAGACAGACAGAAAGGGAGAAGCAAAATGAACATCCACCGCTTAGAGAATGAAGATAAGGAAATAATAATGCAGGACCAAGAAATGGCAGAGAAGTTGAAGAAATACTTTGCATTGGTCTTTATAGTAGAAGACACTAATATCATTCTAAAATTACTAAATATTCAAGAGGCAATAGGAGGAAAGGAAATAAATACAATAACTATCACTAGAGAAAAAGTGCTAGGGAAATTAATGGGGTTAAAGACTTATCATCCTGGATCTGATGGGATTCATCCTCGGATATCAGAGCAGGTAGCTACAGAGGTAGTGGATGCATTGGTAGTAATCTTCCAGAAATCCTTAGGTTCTGGAAAACTCCCAGAGGCTTGGAAGACTGCCAATAGAACACTTTTATTATAAAAAGAAAAGAGACAAAAAGTGAGGTAACTATAAGCCAGTTAACTTAACCTTTCATTGAGAAAATGTTAGAGTACATTATAACGGATGTATTAGCAGAGCATTTAGAAATGTATAATATGATCAAGCAGAGTCAGCATGCCCTCATGAAGGGAAATCATACCTGACACATTTATTAGAATCCTTTGAGGAGGTAACAAGCAGCATAGCTAAATGGGAATGTAAGTGGATAAAGTGGATGTAATATATTTGAATTTTCAGAAGGTTTTGGGTAAGGTGCCGCACATTAGGTTTCATAATGTGTTGGAGGTAGTTGTTGGTGGGGAGGCGATGGCCTAGTGGTATTATTGCTGGAGTGTTAATCCAGAGACCCAGATAACATTCTGGGGACCTAGGTTCAAATCCTGTCATGGCAGATAGTGGAATTTGAGTTCAATAAAAAATATTTTGAATTAAGAATCCAGTGATGACCCTGAATCCATTGTCAATTGTCAGAAAAACCCATCTGTTCACTAATGTCCTTTAGGGGAGGAAACGGCCATCCTACATGTGACTCCAGACTCGCAGCAATGTGGTTGACTCTGAACTGCCTTCTGGGCAATTAGGGATAGGCAATAAATGCTGCCTAGCCAGCAATGCCTTCATCCTGTTAATTTATAAAGAAAAAAAATGTATATTAGCATGAGTAGATGATTGGCTAATATAAGACAGAGATAAAGGGGCATTTAGAAGATGGCAACCTCTAACTAGTGGTGTGTCACAGGGATCAGAGCTGGGACCAGAATTATTTATGATATATATGAATAACTTCAGGGGCAGCATGGTGGCACAGCATTTTTTGTATCATTCATAAACTTGACTACAGTCTATTAATTTTTCTTATCTAAATCATAGAATCCTTACTGTGCAGCTAAGAGGCCATTTGGCCCATAAAGTCTTCACCAACCCTCTGAACAGCATCCCACCAAGGCCTACCCCATCGCTGGAACCCCACATATTCCATGGCTAATTCACCCAGCCTATACATCCCAGAAACAGAAGCAGAACATGACAGGGAGTGACACAGTGAGAAAGACCCCTCCACACAACACTCCAGCCTGCACCAAGAAAAATACAAATAACCCATGCAACTGAAAGCAAACTTTGTTATATATGTTTAAATTATTTTTATTAACTTTTGATTTCTATTAAGTGTCAGTTGTATCTTATTTAAAGTTAAATCCACCTAACCTACACATCTTTGGACTGTGGAAGTAAACCAGAGAACCCAGTGGAAACCCATACAGAGGTGAGAACATGCAAACTCCACACAGACAGTCACCCATGGCCAGAATTGAACCCGGGTCCTGGTACTGTAAAAAAAATAGTGGGAAGGCAAATAGTCAGGATGACACAAAGAGTCTGCAAAGGAATATAGACAGGTTAACTGAGTTGGCAAAAACTTGGCAGACGAATATGACATGGGAAAATGTGAGGTTATGCGCTTTGGCAGGAAGAGTAGAAGAATTGAATATTATTTAAATGGAAAAACCCTGCAGAAATCTACACAACAGGGGGATTTGAGATCCTTATCCATCTTGCAAACCACTAGTATCCAAATTCAACAGTTAATAGGAGAGGCAAATGGAATGTTAGCCTTTATTTGAAAAGGAATGGAGTATAAAAGTAGGTTTTGCTAAAACTATACAAAGCACTATTCAAACCACAGCTGGAATAGTGAACAGTTTTAGGACCCCTTTTTAACAAAAGATCTACTGGCATTGGAAACAGTTTGGAGAAGGTACACAAGGCTGATTGAAGGTATAGTGGGACTGTTTTATGAGGAGAAATTGAGTAGATTGAATAAATACTCATTGGAATTCAGAAGAATGATTGGTAACCCTATTGAAACATTCAAGATTTATAGAGGACTTGATACAGTAGATGAGGAAAGGTTGTTTCCACTTGTAGGAGAATCTAGGACCAAAAAGCACTATCTCAGAATAAAGGGTCGCACATTTAAGACTGAGATGAGGAGAAATTTCTACTCTCAGAGCACTGTGTGTCTGTCGAATTCTTTACCACAGAGTGCCATTGAAGCGGGGATATTAAGTATATTCAAGGCTGAGATAGATGTTAATCAATTAATGAATTAAGAGTTATGGGGAAAAGGCAGGAAAGTGCAGTTAAGGATAATCAGATCAGCTATGATCTCAACGAATGGCAGAGTAGCATCTTTGGACTGAATGGCCTTCCTTTGCTCCTATGTATTACGGTCTTATGGACAGAAATACTAGCATAAGGCCGACTTGATTTATTGAAATGACAAGCAACTGGAAGGTCACAGTCATTTGTATGTTCAGAGTGAAATTGTACCCTTGAAATGGTAAGTGGCTGGAAGGTTGCAGTAATTAAAAAGACAAGTGACTGGAAGGTCAGGGACTCCACAACACCCCCCCTCCCCCACCCACCCACACCCACACACACACAAAAAACTGTCTTGTCTTGTTTACTTTGCTCTCAGCTGGGGGGACGTACTTTTACCCTTCCATACATTAATTTATACCCATTTTAGACCTCTATTTCTTTCTCACCAGTTCGCAACCCTTTTGGCTTTTGCACGGGGCCTCCATACAATCCATTCCCCTTGCTCATCCCCTATCTCTGTCAAAAGTTAAAAAAAATACTTCTTTCTAACCCCCTTCACTTTGAAGAGTCATATCGAACCCAAAACGTTAACTCTGTTTCTGTCTTCACAGGTGCTGCCTGACTTGCTTGGAGTTGCTTTGCATCACAGCTGCTGTAGTAAATGGAAAATACAATGTACTATCTGACGAAAGCTGGCAAATCTAAGAGCCATAAACTTTGCAATAGTTTAAGTGAAAATAAGTTCAGACTTTTAAAACTAAAATGAGATTCTGCTACTAAAAATTTTATACTTACTAAATGATTGAACATATTGTTGCCTTTGATTCATTTGATAATCACCTTAGACCTCTGTTCTCTAACTCCTTTCTGACCCTCAAAATAGTGTCTCCTTATTTAAATTTCGTTCATGATTTTATAATCTTCTATAAATCTCCTCTTAATTTTTTCTCTAAAGAGAACTACTTTAACATTTTCACATAACTGGAGCCTATCATCCCTGGAACAGTTCTAACATACCTCTTCAAATCCTGTCCAGAACTTTGACATCCTTCCTGAATTGTCGTGACCAGAGTCAAGACTGCATCCAAGACTTAAACCAGTATTGTATAAAGGTTTAGCAAAATTTCCTTGCTCTTGTGTTCTATGCCTTTATTAGTGAAGTAAAGGATCCCATATCCTTCTTTAACAATAATTATATTATGTGATACTTCAGCCAAAATTTTTGATTGTCCTTACACATTCATCAATTCAGGGGAGGCAATGGCCTCGTGGCCTTGTTGTTAGACAGTAAATCTAGAAACTTAGCTAGTGTTCTGGGGACACTGGGTTCAAATCCCACTATGGCAGGTGTGAAACAACCCTGTTAACCCTACAAAGACCTCCTTATTAACAGAGTCACAGAGATTACAGCGTGGAAACAGACCCTTCAATCCAACTCATCCATACTGACCAGATATCCTAAACTGATCAATTCCCATTTGCCAGCATTTGGTCCATATCCTGCTAAACCCTTCCTGTTCATGCACCCATCCAGATGCCTTTTTAATGTTGAAATTGTACCAGCCTCCACCACCGCCTCTGGCAGCTCCTTCCATATGTGCACTACCCTGTGCATGAAAAAGTTACCCCTTAGGTCCCTTTTAAATCTTTCCCCTCTCACCTTAAACCTATGCCCTCGAGTTTTGGACTCCCCTTGCCTGGGGAAAAGACCTTGGCTATTCACCCTATCCATGACCCTCATAATTTTATACACTTCTATAAGGTCATCCCTCAGCCTCCGATGCTCCAGGGAAAATAGCCCCAGGCTATTCGGCCTCTCCCTGTAGCTCAAACCCTTGAACCCTGACAGCATCCTTGTAAATCTTTCCTGAACACTTTCAAGTTTCACAACGCTTTTCCTACAACAGGAAGACCAGAACTGAATGCAGGACTCCAAAAGTGGCCTTACCAATGTCCAGCACAGCCTGATCTCCCAATTCTTATACTCATTGTACTAACCAATAAAGACAAGTGTACCAAACTCCTTCCTCATCACCCTGTCTACCTGCGACTACACTTTCAAGGAACAATGAACCTGCACCCCATTGGTGTCTCTGTATGGGCAACACTCCTCAGGACCTCACTGATTTGCTGTACCAAAATGCAGCAGCTCACATTTATCTAAATTAAACTCCATCTGCCACTCCCCAGCCCATTTGCCCATCTGATAAAGGTTCCGTTGTACTTCTTCACTGTCCACTACACCACCAATTTTGATGTTGTCTGCAAACTTACTAACTATACCTCCTATATTCACATCCAAATCATTTATATAAAATGACAAAAAGCAGTGGACCCAGCACCAATCCTTCTGGTGCACAGCTGGTCACAGGCCTCCAGTCTGAAAACAACACCCCATCACCTCCTGTCTCCTACCTTTGAGGCAATTTTGTCTCCAAATAGCTGGCCCTTCTTATATTCCATGCAGAATCTTGTCGAACGCCTTACTGAAGTCCACATAGATGTCCATTGTTCTGCCTTCATCAAGCTTCTTTGTCACTTCTTCAAAAAACTCAATCAAGTTATTGAGACATGATTTCCCATACACAAAACTATGTTGCCTGTCCCTAGTCCCATGGTCCTCAGCATCACAAGTGCTAACCTTCAGTCAATTTGATTCACTGCACATGATATCAATAAATGATTGGGGGCACTGGATAGTGCAAAGGCTATGGGCCCTGGCTACATTCAGGCAATAGTACTGAAGACTGAGGCACCAGAGCCTGCTGCTCACCTAGCCAAGCTCTTCCAGTGCAGTTACAACACTGGCATGACCTGACAATATGGAAATTTGCCCAGGTATGTCCTGTAAACACAAAGCAGGACAAATCCAGTCTGGCCAATTACTGTTCCATTAGTCTGCTCTTGATCATCAGTAAAGTGATGGAAGGTGTAATCAACAGTGCTATCAAGCAGTACCTGCTCAGCACTAACCTGCTCACTGATGTCCAGTTTGGAATCCACAGGGCCGTTCAGCTCCTGACCTCATTGTAGCCATGGTTCAAACATGGACAAAAGAACTGAATTTCACAGGTGAAGTGGGAATGACAGACCCTGACATCAAGGCCACATACACCTGAGTGTGACACCAAGCAGCCCTAGCAAAACTGGAATCCGTGGGAATCATGGGGCAAACTTTTCGCTGGTTGGAGTTATATCTGGCACACAGGAAGATGGTTGTGGTTGTGGGAGGTCAGCCATCTCAACTCCAAGACATCTCTGCAGGAGTTCCTCAGGGTAGTGTCCTAAGACAAACCATCTTTGGCTGCTTCATCAATGCATTTTCTTCTGTCATTAAGTCAGAAATGGGGATGTTTGCTGATGATTGCACAATGTTCAGCACCATTCATGACTCCTCAGAGACCGAAGCAGTCCATTTCAAAAGCAACAAGATCTGAACAATATCCACGCTTGTGCTGACAAGTGGCAAGTAACATTCACATCATACAAATTTAAGATTTTGGCAAAGATTTGTAGCTTGGGTTTTGGGTGAGCTTGTTGACTTGCTCACTGAGCTGGCTTGTTTTCGTTCAGACGTCTCGTCACCATGTTAGGTAACATCGTCAGTGAGGCCTCTGATGAAGCGATGTTGTTCTACTCCGCTTATAATTTATACTGTCCGGTCCACTATGATGAGTAATGTCATTTCCAGTTTTGTTCTGTATGTTTTTGAATATGGGGTCCAATTCTATATGTTTGTTGATTGCATTATGGGTTGAGAACCATGCCTTTAGGAATTCCTGTGCATGTCTATGTTTGGCTTGGGCTTGGGCTACAATGTTTATGTCGTCCCAGTTAAACTGATGGCCTTCATTGTCCGAGTGTACTGATATTAAGGCAAGTTTGTCGTGTCATTTTGCTGCTAGCTGATGTTCATGTATTCTGATGGCTCTGATGTAATGCTTGTGGCAGTCGTTGCATGGTATTTTGTAAACTGCATTGGTTCTGCATGTTGTGGGAATGGGGCCTTTAATCCATGTGGATGACACATTTGTCATTATTAAGCGCAACAAACTAGAAGAGACCCACCACTTCAGCAACAATGTATTCGCCGGGATTAAATTCATGAGAGAAGAAGAAATCAACAATTAGCTTCCTTTTCTGAACATCAGAGTTGAACGCATGACCAACGGGGAGTTCCAAACCTCAGTGTATAGGAAAGCAACTCACACTGACCAAATCTTCAACTTCCACAGCAACCACCCCAACGTCCACAAACAAAGCTGTATTACGACACTATTTAAACAGGCCACCACTCACTGCAACACTCCAGAACTACGCAGGAAAGAGGAAGAGCACCTATATAAAATCTTTGGTATGAACAGATATCCCTGCAACTTCATCCACAGGTGCCTACTAAATAGACAACAAAAGAGGACATAGTACGCCCTAAAACACTGGCCACACTGCCCTATATCAAGAACATATCAGAACTGACAATGAGACTCCTACGACCACTAGGAATCATGATAACATACAAGCCCACAGCCACTCTACAACAAACACTGACAAGGATTAAAGACCCCATTCCCACAACATGCAGAACCAACGTAGTTTACAAAATACCATGCAACAACTGCCACAAGCATTACATCGGACAGACAGGACAAAAGCTAGCCATCACAATACACGAACATCAGCTAGCAGCAAAATGACATGACGAACTTTCCTGAATATCAGTACACTTGGACAATGAAGGCCAAGTGTTTAACTGGGATAACGTAACCATAGTAGCCCAAGCCAAACATAGACACACACAGGAATTCCTAGAGGCATGGTTCTCAACCTATAATGCAATCAACAAACATATAGAATTGGACCCCATATACAAACCCATACAGAGCAAAATCAGAAATGACACTACTCACCATAACAGACTGGTCAGTATAAATTCCAAGTGGAGTAGAACAACATCACTTCATCAGAGGCCTCACTGATGATGTTAACTAGCATGTTGATGAAACATCTGAACGAAAACAAGCCAGTTCAGCAAGCAAGTCAACAACCTCACATCGTACAAATGCCAGGCAATGACCATCTCCAATATGAGACAATCTAACCACCGCCCCTTCCTTGAACACTGAATCAATTCAACACTGAATCCTCCACTATCAACATCCTGGGGGTTACCATTGATCATAAAATCAACTGGACTCTCCATATAAAGAGTGACTGCAAGAGCAGTCCAGAGGCTAGGAATACCGCAGCGAGGAACTCATCTCCTGTCTCCCCACAGCCTGTTCACCATCTACAAGGCACAAGTCAGGAGTGTGACAGAATACTCCCCACTTGCCTGGATGGATAGAGCTCCAACAATACTCAAGAAGCTTGATACCATCCAGGGTAAAGCAGCCCGCCTGATTTCACCACATCCACAAGCGCCCATTCTCTCCATCACCGAGACTCAATAGCAGCAGTATGTACTATCTACAAGATATACTGCAGAAATTCGCCAAAGATCCTTAGGCACACCACCCAAAACCGTGCCCACATCCATTTGGAGGGACAGGGCAGCAGGTACATGAAAATACCGACACCTGCAAATTCCCCTCAGTCACGCATCATCTTGACTTGGAAATATGTTGCCATTCCTTCACTGTCGCTGTGTCACAATTCTAGAATTCCTTCCCTAAGGGAACTGAGGTCTACTTACAGCACACGAACTGCAGTGCTTCAATTTTTTTTTCTCTATCTCCTTCTTGCTATTTAATAGCAAATAATATGCATTCAGTAATAAGATTGCTTCTCAATTGTCCTTTAATTCTGATCAAA